CCTAGCAGCTATTGGCTCCTCACAGTTGACCGAGATTTTGTTCCGATTGGTCAGTTTCTATGCCAGTCAGCATCTCCAGGCCTGATCAGAGAGGTGGGGCTGATCAGCAGCCCCCACAGAGGCCTGGAGAGAAAGAGAGGCATGCTGCTGGCCAGGTCCAGAGAAAAAGAGAGGGGCAAAGGCTGATCAACAGCTGCCACGGAGACTACAGATCAGACCCTGCTTCTCTCTCCAGGCTTCTCTCTGGACCTGATCCACAGCCCCTTCAGCAGTCAGTGTTGGGTTGCCATGCCTGCAGCGGGATAGTCAGTGCTGGGTCGCCACAGCAACCCAGCACTGACTACAGGACTGACTTCTGGTGTTCAGTGGAGCCTTCGGTCCTTACGGTCACTGCCATTGTGTATATATATATATATAGATAGATGAACTCATTTTTATTAAAAATTATTATATAGGCTAAGCCTGTTAACTGACTCAACCAGGTCCATTGGTTGGTTAATGAGAAAAAGGTTAAAGCACTTTGAAACATACTTTAAGTACTTCATTTTAGTTTTAAAAATATGTACATTCATTTTCAATCTTTGGATATAGGACCAAGGACTTTTCTTTAACTATGGGCCCACCTGTTCTTTCTTAATAAATCATATCCTTAAAATATTGTTTAAGATTTCTGGTTTCAGTTTCTTTAAAATGCAGTGAGGACTTAAAAACATTCCCAAAGCAAACCAGGTACACACTCTATCGAGATTTATATTTCTCCTCAATCTTTTGCAATTATCTCACCCACTAATCATTGACTGCAGTTTATCTAAAGATCTAGCCCTTAGCAATCTTTTTAACACATTAGACTTAGTTGAAATAGAAATAATTCTCTTTTAAGCTCACATTTTGATTTGTATATTTTGAAATTTCAAAACTACTATGAGTATAACTAAAATAAAAATTTGACAAGAAAAATAGGAAATCAAAACATTTATTTACTGCCGAAACTGGTTTGGCTCAGTGGATAGAGCGTCGGCCTGTGGACTAAAAGGTCCCAGGGTCCAGGGCACGTACCTTGGTTGCAGGCACATCCCCACTGGGGGGAGGTGCAAGAGGCAGCTGGTCAATGTTTCTCTCTCATCGACATTTCTAACTCTCTATCCCTCTCAATTCCTCTCTATGTAAAATCAATAAAATATATTTAAAACACACACACACACACACACACACACACACACACAAAAAAAAAAAAAAAAAAAAAAAAAAAAAAAAAAACACATTTATTTATGGATACATTGTTACATAGTAAAAATGTAAAGGAAACAAATGATTACCCCAAAAAATTAGGGACAAGCATTGTAAATAGAAGGGAACATAAAGTAATTTCTGAGGTACTAGCAATGTTCAATCTCTTTACCTGCATATTGAGCTACACAAATACAATGAGTGGTACTCTAGTATTTTGTGTGCTTTTCTATTAAGTGATATTTTGCAGTAATGTAGCTATAAGAAAAGGAGCTTTGCTGGAAAAATACTTAGAAGGAAGAATGACAAAGAAAGTGTTAATATCTTTATATAAAAAAATTCATGCTTAAATAAGTGGAAAATAAGCAAAGTAAAAAAGTTTATATAATATGCTGCCTTTTGTGTAAGAAGGAAAATAAGAATATACCTATATAACTTTGTAAAATAAATATAGTACAGGTAAACTAGAGAATAATTAAGTTGCTTACTTTTGAGGGGATGGGTAGGAAATGAAGTGGAAAAGACAGAAGAAATTAGTGAACTAGAGGATGTCCTATCACTCTCTCCCTCTCTCTACCTCTCTAGGCATAATACTTAGAATCTTTTTTGACAGTTCTGACAATTATAACCAAGTTAACATCTCACATGCCTCAAACAATATAACAAAACAGAAATTAATATGGGGGGGGGGGGGACTAAAATTAAATTCAGAACAAAATAAAATCAACCAAACAACCTAATAAATGAGTGATGTAACCACACTGAAGAGAAAAAAAAAAAAAAAAAGTGAGCCAATATAATTTTTTAATATAGTTTTTCTTTTTTTAAAAATATATCTTACTGATTTCAGCCAGGGAAAGGGAGAGATAGAGAACCACCAATGATGAGAAAAAATCATTGATATTGATAGGCTGTCTCCTGCATGCTCCCCACTGAAGATCTAGCAACCTGGGCATGTGTCCTTGACTGGAACCAAATCTGGGACCCTTCAGTCTGCAGGCCGACACTATTCACTGAGCCAAACCTGCTAGGGCTAATATAGTTTTTATTGATTTCAGAGAGAGGAAGAGAGAGGAAGAGAGAGGGAGAGAGTGATAGGACATCAACAATGAGAGAGAATCAACTGGTTGCCTCCTAAAGCCTCTACTAGGGATCGAGCCTGATCAGGAATCGAATCCACAACCTTTCTGTGTACAGGATGTCTCTCCAACCAACTGAGCCACATCAGCAAGAGCTCAGCTTTACTACTTTTGTTGCAATTTACACTTAAGGTAAAAATTACTTCTAAGTAATTACCATTTTAAAATATTTTTTAAATTGATATCAGAGAAAGAGAGGGAGAGATATAGAAATATCAATTATGAGAGAGAATAATTGATCAGCTGCCTCCTGCACACCACCTACTGTGGCTTAAGCCTACAACCCAACATATGCCCTGACTGGAACTGTGGTGATGACTGGAATTGGTGGTATTACTGTGCATTGATGGCTTTTAATAAACATAGATATATGTGTGGAAACGTATGTGTATTCACTCATATGTTAGTATATATCTAGTTCCTAACTGTGTCAGCTGAAAGGGCCAAGAGGCAATGACACAATAGCAAATGAACACACCTAGCGCAAAGATCTTGATTTCCAAATGCATTCTTCACCAAAAGGAACTAGGACCTTAGAAACATGGCTGATTCCAGTCCAAGGTTGGGAAGAACATGGAATATCCTACTGTGCCAAAATGTAAAGAAAATGCTCAATGAATGAGAGAGTCATATCAAAAGGACACAGGAATCAGCATGAAGAGGATCTCATGGCCCAATCTGGGACAATTTGAGCATCAATATAAATAATAATAGTAAAGAAATAAAATTTATCAAGTAAAATAAGAATCTAGAAGTTCAAATGATATAAATAAGTATGAAAAGGAGAAAGGAAAACTCTCATCTTCATAGCAAAAAGCCAACTACTAATCATAGAGGATTTTTGGAATTAGAAATTCATCTTTTGGCAACCATCATATTCAGGCAAGAATTATCAATGGATGCTAACTTGTGGGAAAAGATTGAGGAATACCATGCTATTTATAAAACCTCTATTTCCTCCACAGGATAGCTCTAAATTACAAAAGAAAAGATAGTAACTTTAGAGTAACCTGACAGACAGTACCTTTAACCAAGTAAAGTTGACATCATCAGAAATGAGGCAAATTAATAGCATATGTCTCCACAAGCATATTTTCCATGTTATTACTGATAAAAGCACAAGACGTGAATTTTTTTTTAAATATATATTTTATTTATTTTTTACAGAGAGGAAGAGAGAGGGACAGAGAGCTAGAAACATCAATGAGAGAGAATCATCGATTAGCTGCCTCTTGCACACCCCCTACTGGGGATGGGCCTGCAACCAAGGTCCATGCCCTTGACTGGAATCGAACCTGGGACCTTTCAGTCCACAGGCTGACGCTCTATCCACTGAGCCAAACTGGTTTTGGCAAGAGGTGAATTTAATTGTGAAAATATATCAAAGAAAAGCAAACTGAGAGACATTCAACAAAATAACTGGCCTAAACTCTAAATATCAAGTCATGAAAAACTACTACTCCAGATTATAACAAACTAAAGATGCAGTACAACTAAATCCAAAGCATAATTCAGGATATTCTTTTGTTGTAAATGACATTCTTGACACCTTTGGTAAGACATGAATGAGATCTACAGATTAGGTAATGGTATCATACCAGTTTAATTCTGATAACTGTACTATAGCTATGTAAGAGAATGTCTTTGATTTTAGGAAATATACATAAAAGTACTTAAGGGAAATGGGCATGACCACATCCAAAAGACTCTCAATCCAAAAGTAAAAGGTGTGTGTGTAAATGTACACACACATACACACACACATACACACACACACACACACACACACACACACACACACACACCGGGGGAAGTGGAATAGCAATTGTCAGCGAGAGTTTGAGGTGAGGAGAGGACAGAAAAAGATTGAAGAATAAAAACAAATGTGAAAAACGTTAACATATGAGGAGTTTTGGCAAAAGGTGTACATATATATACATATATATATATATGTATATGTATATATATAGGAATCCTTTGTACTATTTTTACACTTTTCTGTAAGCCTGAAATTATCTCAAAATACAAAGCTAAAAGAAAAATCTGACACAATACAGAAAATCAGACATTTCATAAAAGCAAAAGTCAAACATGAGTAATTATTTAACCACCTAAAATAATAAAAAAATATTTTTGTAGTAAACTCTGGAGGGGTTGGTATTTTCATATTTTACTGAGTGACAACTAGTTCAAACCTTTTGAGAAAAAATACCTGGCAATATGGACTAGGAGTGAAGTAAAGAATCTGGTGATTCCACCACTGAGACTCTATCCTAAGGAAATAAATACTAAATATCGGAAAGTCATTGTAGACAAATGTAATCACAACAGCTTCATTTAAAATAATGCAAATTGGGAAAAACCTAAATGGAACACAAGAAGAGTTTAAGAAAATGTATAATCACTCACAGGAATTATTCAATCATTAAAATAAATAATCTAAAAAACTAAGTCAACATGGAGAAGTGCTTACAACAGACATAATAATGTGCTGAAGTAAAATTATATGAACAAATAATTACAAGTTTTGGTTTCTAAAATATGCACAGAAAATAAAGACAAAGAAAATTCAAAAAACTGTTAAAGGATTTGTAGGGTGATGATAAGTGAGGTTTTTTCCATTTTTTTTATTATTCAAATTGTTAAGTAATTGAATTATTTTAATACTGAGAAATATGCAACTAAAAAAGAAACTAATCTTGTATTTACTACTTTAATCCTTTGTGTTTACAAAGTGCATCTGGAAATATTTGAGAGAGAGAAACAAGGGAGAAAAGTCATGATAAAGAAATTTAGACAAATACTTTAATTTGGTTTCAAACACATATAAGCAGTACACATGTGAGTGAGGAGGCTGCTCAAGTCCTATAGGGGAAAGGTTACAAAAAAATACATACAAATATCCATCTCAAAAGCATGAGGGTCCTTATATCCTTTCTTAAAGAGCATAAAGAGCAAGCACATTCTATACAAATGAGAGTTGTGACAAAGAATTTTAAAGTTCAAGAGCCTGTCACAGTAATGAGGTATAATGATGGAAAAGAAGTCTTACAAGCTTCTCTTGTCCAATACTCACTGAAGTCTCATTCGTTTTTCAGGGGGACCTTTAGTGCTCACTGTCTGTTGGATGTTCTTTGTGGTCTCCTTCTCATCAGACTTTGCAGTTTCTGGTATAGGTTCTGCCTCTTTCTTTGTCTGATCCACTACCCATCAAAAGGAGTTATTTTTTGGAGGAGGAGAATAAGAAAGGGATGAGATCAAATTAGATAACCATTAATATGAATGGTTCAAACTCTTACCAATTCATTTTAGACCTGCTTGTATCAAGTTCTAAATTTAATTGTTTCATCAGGCAGATGTATAAAAATCCATTTACAAGTCTAAAAATCGGATAACCCAAGCAAATTTGTGATACTAGATAAAAACACATAACATTTAATAAGATAGTATACATGATTATTCCACCTGGTTCAATGAATAGGTCAATATCTCTTTTCAATGATGAACCAGAAGACCTTTTTCCATACCAAAATTTGAAGAATTTGAACCCCAAACCTCAAATCATCTCAGCTTTTCCACAGCTCCTCAATTCCTATTCTTCCCACTCTGATTCACCTTTTAAATACTAACATCACTACCACAAAAGCATCATCTTTCCTGGCCAGCCTGGCTCAGTGGCTAAGTGTCCACCTTTAATCCAGAAGGTCATAGCTCCATTCCCGATCAGGGCACATGCCCAAGTTTCAGGCTTGGTCCCCAGTGTGGGGAGTGCAGGAGGCAGCCAATCAATGATTCTCTGTCATCATTAAAGTTTCTATCTCTTTCTCCCTCTCCCTTCCTCTCTGAAATCAATAATCATAAATATTAAACAACAACAACAACAAAAAGCACTGTCTTTTGGCAGTTCAGCAAATCTCAAGGTTAGGAATAACAAACTACAATGAGAGAATCTAGAAAAAGGATGGGGAATGTATAGCTCCTGGCCATATAAGTCCCAAGAAATCATTTGCTCATTAGGCATTAGGGGTGAGTTAACTAAATGTTTGACCAAATACAGCAGGTTAATTTTAAAGCTGATCATTTTGTATGGCACTTGGATGATGTTATAAAAATCCAAATAACCCTTGACAGAAAAAAGGTTCCTCACCCCTGATCTAGAGGACTAAATGACAGTAGCTCATCTCATATGCTAAGTTGTTCCTGAGTTAAACAGGCTGTTTTGTCTTATTTGAAGTTTAACAAGAATATCAGATGAACCATACCTGGGACAGGCTTTTCTCCAGACTTTTGCTATAATGGAAAACAGAGAAAACAAAAGAGTGGGAAGAAGTAGAAGAAAACAGGGCAAGTTAGCAGTTTTGTTTTGTTTTTTCACTTCATAATTCTTATTAAAATTATACTTTCATTCGGGCATATGCTGATGAGTAGGTTTATAAATGACTTCATGAAGAGGAACCATTGTATGTATCATAAAAAGTAAATTTATCATTTTCTAATTCTTATTCACCTGTTGAAAAAGAACACATCTAAAATTGGAACAAAGGAGTCAAATATAAATAACTCCTGAACACCTACAAAACCTGTAAAGGATTCATTAAGGACTGAGACTAACCAGGAGAATAATATGTTCACATATTCCATCACATGCCTACTTCACTTCAAAAGCTCATTTAGTAAAATAGCAGGTAGATTTGCTATTATTGTTGGAACTAATGGAATTCATGTATTTTAAATACCAACATGATGTAACTCTTACTATTTACTCCTGCCTCCTCCATTTATCATGGCAAACCTTTTGCCTCAAATGTTCTGTGGGGTATTTTTTGTTACTAAAGTTTCAACCATTCTGTCATTTAAGTTTTAACCATTTTGTCACATCAGGCTGGAAGTGAGCACTTAAGAGTAATACAGCATGAGTTTCAGATTCTAGTTTTATTATTATCTATGACATTTTCGGCAATCTTTTGAATGAAAATATTGTAGGCCTTATAGTCTGTTAAAACACAAGGAGAAATTAAACTTAAGAGCACAGAACAGTGTTATTTCTATTCCCTTTACTCACTTTCTCCATTAAGTCTTTTGAAAACCTCTCTTTTGATTCAGAGATCATTTTTAAATAGTAAAGAAAATCAATATTTTTAGATCACATCTGAAACAGTTCTCAATTGAAACAAATATACCAGGCTCTGACCAGGTGGCAGAGTTGAATAGAGCATTATCCTGACATGCCAAGGTTTGGGGTTCGATATCTGATCAGGGCACATATAGGAAGCAGCCAATGAATGCATAAATAAGTGGGACAGCAAATTGATATTTTTCTCTCCACCCGCCCCCTTTCCTCTTTCTCTTACTCTCTAAAAATCAATAAAAATAACTTTTTAAAAATGCCAGGAAATAGTACGAAATTCACCACACATGCTCTCATTACCTGCACAAATTTGGGTGGAAACTTCTGTCTGAGGTCCAGGAGTAAAGCATCCACACGTTGCCTCTGGAAAATAGAACTTGGTTCTTCTTTCCTTTTGGTTTTAGGTTTAACTTTTTCTGTAAAATATGAAGTTATTTCACAAATTTTTATCCATCATGAATATATTCAAGCTTCATTATTTTTTATGGCTGCTAGTTAAAACATAATCTCCCAAATAAGTTAAACTGAGCATATACACAGAAGTATTCTAACTCTCCCTCTAAAATGAACTTAACATTCTAGCATTTAAAAAGTTGATGTTACCCTGGCTGGTGTGGCTCAGTTGAATGGAGCATTGACCAATGCACTGGTTCAATTCCTGGTCAGGGCACAATCCCTGACAAGGGTGTGAAGGAGACAGCTGACTGACATTTCTCTCTCACATGATGTCTCTCTCTCTCCTTCTCTCTCTCTCTCCCCCACTTTCTCTCTCCCCCACAGACTCCTTTCCTCTCTCTCTAAAAATCAATAAAAGTATTTTAAAAATAAATAAATAACAAAAAGCTGATGTCTTTTAAAGATACTTTAGTTTTAACTTTGTCAACTATATGATTGTCTAACTAGTATGCTATACACCTGAAACTAATACAAAATAGTATTGAATGTAAATAATGGGGAAAAAATTTAGTATATAAGCATGGGTAGAAAAAAGAATTTTAAAGCTACATTTTTCCATAATTACCAAAATCACAATCCAGATTATTTGTTTGAAATCATTAAAAAAAGAAGAAGAAAAAGAAAACAGGACAAACCAAACAGAAGGTCCTCAAGACAAGAAAGAACTTATAAGAGAAATTCTTAAATTAATTACATAGAATTTCCCTGGGGCAGGATATATATTGGGGGATGGTCTCTAAATGAAGTTTCATTCTAAACATTTCATTAGGGTAGGGGCAGAGAGCTCTTAGGAGAAGTTTATTTAACTAATGTAAACTTTCCTACATCTGATGTCGCAACCTGCAACAACTATTAAGAATAAATATAGCCCAGCTGGGTGTAGCTCAGCAGTTGAGCATCAATCCAGGAACCAAGAGGTCACCAGTTCGATTCCCAGTCAGGGCACAGGCTCAGGTTGCAGGCTCAATCCCCAGTGGAGTGTGTGCAGGAGGCAGCCAATCAATGATTCTCTCTCATCATTGATGTTTCTATCTCTCTCTCCCTTTCCCTTCCTCTCTGAAATCAATAAAAATATATATTTTTTAAAAGAATAAATATAACTGTATCTGAGAGACCATTCAAGCCACAAGCCTGAATTCTACTTAAAGGCTACTTTTCTGTTAGTAATTAATGCTGAATTGCTATTTCTCGGAGGAGGAAATACAGACGATAGGTATTCTGCTATAGACACACTTCTAGTACTTATTGGTAAAATATGGTATAGCACGAGTAGCAGATGAACAGCTATGGAAATTGGGGAACCTGGCATTACAACAAGTGATAACATGGAAAAATAAAAAGACTGGTCACCTGGGAATAAGGCTCTAAGAGCATCTCCCCTAGTTTTAAGCCTGGCAGATTCCAGTTCCTGATTTCAAGATGACTCTACAGTTAGGTAAGCAAGAAATTTCATCATAACTCAGTCCTCATTTTTTATTTTCTCTGCATGCTCCAAATATTTAAAAAACTTGAATCCACTTATCAAAGATTATCATTTACCTAACAGGTTGAAATGTATATCCGTTCCTATGAAAAAGCTATTACCACATCTATTTATATAAATAGTAGCTGTGACAAGGTGATAATCCTATGAAGAATTTTCCTAAGGGGAAGTAAAACACACATATAAATCATCAATAACTGTTTACCTGAAGAAAAAAGATTCATTCTCAGATATCAGAAAATGTTTTCATAAGGTCCAGGTGTCCTACCTACCTTGTTCTTCATGATCTTTGAAGTGCCACCAATACCCTTTGGAAGGATGATATCGACAGTATGACATCGCTTCATCAAAAGCGGACTGAATGCCATGCACCGCAGTGAGCTTGTAAAAAGAAAATGAATTCCCAATTTCTCATTAATAATGCTCAAAACATTTTAATACCCAACACTTTATACTAACTTACACAAGGAGCTCTGTTTGGTTCTTGAAAGCAAGGTGGCTCAAGTAAATGTTTTTAGTGTTTAAATAATGTGAAGACACTTACCACTCTAGAGTTTATAACTGATCCCAAGTCTGGTGCCTGGTAGATCACTCCAGCAATGATATAGTAATCAGCCAGTGGGATAACTAAAGCAGAAGGGGAAAAAACATTTATGAATACAGCTATATACACAACTACTAAATAGATTTCCATAAAAAGAAAAACTAAAATTTGACATTTTCTCATATTAACACTTAAGGCAGCGCCTGGCATGCAGGAGGCAGCTGATCAGTGATTTTCTCTCATCACTGATGTTTCTATCTCTCTTCCTCTCTGAAATCAATAAAAAATATATTTTTTTAAAAATGTCCTGTTTTTGTAAATAAAGTTTTATTATAAAACAGCCACACCCATTCATTTACATTATTATCTACAGCTGCTAGGTGAGTAGTTGTCACAGAGACTATGAGCCCCATAAAGTCTAAAACATTTACTGTGGACCTTCACAGAAAAAAATTTTGTCCATTCTTGCCCTAGAGCAGTAAATCACCTGAGTATCCTGTTAAAATCAGATACTTAATCAGTAGGCATAGTGCATTTCTAACAAGTTCCCAAGTGATCCAATGCTGCTGTCAGTCAACCACACTTTGTGGAATAAGACCTTACAGCCAAGAGATTTACAGCCTAGGGTAAAGGTAACAGATGTGCTGAGCTTGCCTCTGTGCTCCCTCCCATCCTGAGTCCGAAAGAATAAAACAGCTGCTAGGGAGATTGGGGCCATCCTGTATAGCTTCTATACCTTGAACCCTCTCACCATGGAACTCTTATCCGTGGTCTTGCCTTTGTTCTAAGGCTCTCTTTTTAAAAAATCCTCACCTGAAGATATTTTCATTGATTTTAGAGAGGGAAAGGGAGAGAGAAACATCAATTGGTTGCCTCCTGTACACATCCCAGGATCAAACCCATCACCTACGTATGTGCTCTGACCAGGAATCTAATCCACAACCTATCAGTGTATAGAAGGATGTCCCAACCCACTAAGTCACACTGGCCAGGGCTAAGGTTCTCTTTTTCTCTGTACAAAAGCTCTAGATTTTTTAACTAAATTTTAGTTCTTGATTCTAGAACTCCTTTAACAAGTCACTCTCTGGAATTAATACCAAAGCTGTTATTAAATGTCTTTATGAGAGATTTTAAAATTAGGGGATGTGCTGGTCACCTTTGGAAGTAAGTGACTAATTCTGTGATTCAAAATCAAATCTGCATTTATACTCTTCAGTGTGATTTCTAAGGCAAGTTTTTGTTTGGTTAGATAAACCAGATAAGACTTGTGTTTCAATGTGTCAATGAGGATTTTCAACTGACCTTCTAAGAATTTGATAAAACTACACCTACCATGTATTTTCTAACAGAATTAGACTCAGTGGTCTGAGATAAAAGGAAGTTACTTGGAATGATCGAGGTTCAGTTGGAATGCCAACACTGTGCTCACAAGAAGACGTGGTTTCTATATAGTGAGTTGCTCTATTAGTGCTTGCAGAGCTGTCCCTGGGCATGCCAGGAGACTCCTAGTGTCCAAGCATGTGACTAGTGGAACTCCTTTTAAAATGTTTCCTAAGTGATAAAGCTATGTCTGCTATACCAGCCTGACTAGACAATTTGTACAAAAAATATGATATCCTTCTAAGGCTCTGGAATTTTAGCAGGCATAAGAAGTCTACATGATTAGCCCTCATGTCCACTCTTGCCCTAGGGCAGTAAATCAGCTGAATATCCTGTTAAAATCAGGTTCTTAATCAGTAGGCATAGTGCATTTCTAACAAGTTCCTGAACAGACAAATACACATGGAGCTGCATTTCACTGCTGGAGGGTATACTTGGTGTAGCCCCTCACATAGGGGAAAGTATAGAAAGCTTACACCTGGACAGAGCCCACTTGATATGGCTTTCTAACTTATTGATCTGGCTGGGGAGTCTTACTGTGTTGCCTTAACAAAACTTATGCATGACTAACTATATGCTGAGTCCCCCTAGTAAAGTATTGAACATATATATTGGCTTGGGGATGCACAAAAGAGAACCCAAGAAAACAAACAAACTAACAAACAAAACACACACACACACACACAAACAAACATCTGGATAGCTCAGAAAGTAAATAAATCATGTATTTTAAGAAAAAAATGCCTGAAGTTTACACATTTTACCTTGGGTAGGGGACTGCCGCTGTTGTTTCCGAATGATAAAAAGAATGGGCTCTTGAGCATGTAAAAGGATGTATTCCACTCCAACCATCTGACTGAATGAAAATAGAACAGAGACATCCAGAGATCTATGAATGACCTATAAACAATTCTGTAGAACATTCAAATTATTATATAAAAGTATAACAAAACTGTAAGTAGAATTAAAACTGCCTGTGTTTGATTTTAAAACCTGGCTGTTTAATAAAACTGGCTATTTTCCAAGGTAGTCAAATACAGATAAAGATTTGGTTTTTAAACAACAAAATCCTATCTAATAAAAGAGTAATATGCAAATTGACTGTCACCCCCAACACACAAGATGGCTACCCCTATGTGATCAAAGATGGCTGCCTCCATGTGGATACAAGATGGCCACCACAAGATGGCCAGCAGGGAAGGGCAGTTAGGAGGGACAAGGCCTGCAAGGGAGGATGGTTGGGGACGATCAAACATGCAGGGGAGGGCAGTTAGGTGACCAGGCCGGGAAAGTAGGGAAGTTAGGGGCAACCAGGCCTGCAGAGGAAGGCAGTTAGGGGTGACCAGGCCAACAGAGGAGGGAATTTGGGGGAGACAGGGCCTGCAGGGAAGGGCAATTGGGGGGGACCCCGACCTGCAGAGGAGAGCAGTTGATGGGACCAGGCCTGCAAGGGAGGGCAGTTGGGGTGATCAAGCCTGCAGGGGAGAGCAGCTAGGAGAGACCAGGCCTGCAGGGGAGGGCTGTTGGGGGCAAACAGGCTGGCAGGGGAGCAGTTAAGCATCAATCAGGCTGGCAGGGGAGCAGTTAAGCATCAATCAGGCTGGCAGGGGAATGGTTATGGGGTGATCAGGCTGGCAGGCAGAAGTGGTTAGGGGCAATCAAAAAGGTAGGCAGGCATGCAGTTGGGAGCCAGCAATCCTAGATTGTGAGAGGGATATCCAACTGTCCCTTTAGGCCTGATGGGCCTAAACGGGCAGTCGGACATCCCTCAAGGGGTCCCAGATTGGAGAGGGTGCAGGCTGGGCTGAGGGACACACAGCCCCTCATGCACGAATTTCATGCACCAGGTCTCTAATTTATTTATAAAATTTCATGATGAACTTAAATTTTCATCATGAAAGTATACTGAAGAGCATGTTTCAAAAAAGGCAACCAAGCCCAGCCGCAGTGACTCAGTGGTTGAGTGTCGACCTATGAACCAAGAAGTCATGATTTGATTCCCGGTCATGGCATATGCCCAGGTTGCAAACTCAATCCCCAGTGTGGGGTGTGCAGGAAGCAGATGATCAATGGTTCTCTCTCATCATTGATGTTTCTATCTCTCTCCCCCTCTCCCTTCCTCTCTGAAATCAACTATATATATGTATGTGTATATATATATATATATATATATATATATATATATATATATATATATTGTTGTGGCAACCAAAATACCATGATGCTTCTTGATCTGGGAGATCTATAAATATATGTAAAATATAAAAGTATCCATGATGAAGACAATTCATGTCTTGACAGTATATTTCAACTATATATTCTACCCAACTAGAAAATATCAAAAACCTTATTCTTGCCCCACTGCATTTTTTATCTGGCAGATTATGTTTAAAACAGTAAGTTGTCTTAATAGTTATAAATATTTGTCTCATAACAAAAATTATTTAAAATACCACCACAGAAATTTAATTTCATGAATTCTTCCTAATGTTTAGCTGATAGATTAAAAAGAAACCACTTTGATTCAGAAACTTTTATAACAGTAATAAATTCTTAACGTCCTAAGTCTGAAGAATCTTGCTTTGTTAAGTTTAGCTAAAATTTTTTCTTTGTCATACAAAGATAAATCTACTATAAACCTACTAAAGACACTAAAGTACATGTAGAGGAGACAAAAATATAGTTACTAGATTGAGAATAACAGTTGCATTGCTCATATCTACATTTAAACCTCACAGCTATATTTTAATTGGACAGTAATACCATATACAAAGTTATTACAGAAAAGACTTCCTAAGCAACCAATGACTACTAATAATTCTTTTGCCAATCAAAATTTGTTATGAACCCAAACAAACTCAAGTCTTTCAAAACTTCTACTCTGTACTTCATGATCCACAGCTTGAAAGAATTGTTCACTGCAGAATCTCTAAATGGCAAAGATGCTATTTTTTTACAATAACTTACTTTAAGTGTTCTAATGTTAGTCTCTGCATTTTGACCACTTCATTATTACACGTTCTGTCATAAAAAGGATTACTTCTTTCTGAAAAGTAATCTAGGACACTTCCACTGTTCAAAATGGGGATCCATGTACTGTCAACCCAAGAGATTCCGAGCAGATTATCTATAAGAAAGAAACAAAACAATAAAAGATTAGAAAAGAGAAAAAAAAAATCTAATCTTACAAATATATCTCATGTTGTAGGCACTATAAATAGAAGGAAGACATGAATCCTAATTTACATACTCTCACAGTCTAACAGAAGAGACTAGTACACAAGAAATCAATAACAACTCAAGTGCTATAATAAAAGTATGAATAAATGTTTTATGATAGCACAGTGGAGAGAGCAAAGTACTTTACCTGAGGAAACTGGAATGATTTTTTATAGGGTGAGGGTTTTAGCGCTATCCTATCCTAGATAATAAAAGACTAATATACAAATAGACCAAATGGCGGAACCGAACAACTGGTTGCTATGATATGCGCTGACCACCAGATGGAGCACGTGGAACATGGCAGGCATCAGCAGCAAGCAGAAGAGAACAGAACATGGTGGGCATAAGCCACAGCAAGATGGTGGAGCAGGTGAGCAGGAGCATGAGGTCAAGGCAGGGCGTCAGTTGCTATCATCGGGATGAGCCTCTGAAAATTCTTTGCTCCTGTGCGCTGTGGTCCAGTGGTCCCAACCAGTGTTCACACCTGCCTGGTGCTCACACCTGCTGCCAGCGCCAGCCCTGCTCACACCTGCTACTGGCACCCAGCGCTAGTTGTGATCATTCAACTCCGTCAGTGGGTACAAGTGGCAGCTGCCGGACCCAATTGCCCCTAAGGGTTTCTACACCTCCCCTTGCTCCTGAGGGGCAATTGGAGCAGCAGCCACAGCTTGCACCCACTGACAGCGCTGGCTCCACTTGCACCCGCCGCTGGCACCAGCCCCAATCACTCCATGCCATTATCGAGTGCGAGCAGGGCCAGCACCATCAGCGTGTGGGAGCCATGGCAATGGCAGTGGAAGCAAGGCTGCCGGCAGACAGGGGACTGGGGGCCATCACAGGAGGGGCCGAGTAGGGTCATGGAGGATGGGTTGAGACCCACCCCTGTGCCCATCACAGCCTCAAGACCCACAGTTCCTTTCAAAGTGCACAAATTCGTGCCCTGGGCCCCTAGTATATTAAAGAATAAATAGAGGGTCAAGCTGGAAAAGAGGAGCAAAGCAATTCTAAGAGAGAATGCATATACAAAGATGGGAAAATATAAAAATATATTATGTTTCAAGGATAATTTGATTAGATGGAGAAATATAAGACTTGAAATTTAAAGAGATCTTTCAAAAAATTAGAAAGCCTAAGTTTTTATATGTTGGCAATTAATTTAAAAGTTTTTAAACAACATTCATGCCAGAGAAAACACATCCAGAACCACCAGTTTGTAACATCCCAATTAGGGACCAAGAAATAAATTAGGAAGTTATTATTATAGATGAGATGATACAAAAGTTAAAGAGCAAATGAGAAGTACAATGCCCTTAATTATAAATCATACAATTTCATATTTTAGAACAGAATTAAGTTTGAAAATTTTCAAAATGCACAAAGGAAAAAAAAAAGACATGGTAAAATAGAGCTAGACACTTTTAATTAATGATCTTTTATTACCTAATGGATGCAATGATGTTTCACAACACTAACTATACTAAATACCACTAGGTGTGAGTCATGAACATCAAAATGCCTATATTTTAATATTAGTTGAAGAAGGAAGTATTAAAAACCTCAACCTCTTCTATACTGTAATTGCTTCTGGCATCTTTGAAGAAGTCAGCCCTAACCCAAAGTGACAAGCAATTTTGAGCAAAATGAATTGAGAAAAAGTAAGTGTATAAAGGTAAAATGTGCTGTGTGCATTATAAAGGAAATAAATAGATGAATATGCTAATGATGAAATAATCAGTAGAGACTATTAAGATGATTCATCATAAATGGATCATGCCATAACCAAATACTGTGTATAACAAGCCAGAAAATAAAAAGATTTCCTAATGAAAAACTACTAAGTAGAGTGTTGACCTGTGGACTGAAGAGTCCCAGGTTTGATTCCAGTCAAGGGCATTTGTAGAAAAAAATTTTAGGTTTCTTTATCACTTACATAGCAGAAACTACATATATATGGTATCATAATAAGTATTGACAATAAATTGTTAAAATATTACAGATCATTTCCAGAAAGAAAATAATCTGCAGAAAAAATGTTTAGTGAAGATCCTACCTACCAACAATTATGGATAATCAATACATATGAGCATAAGATGATGAGAACCTAGTGGGAGGCAATGGCAATGCATCCTATCCTATATAATAAAGAGGTAATATGCAAATTGACTGTCACACCCTCACAAGATGGCCGTCTACGACCTGGCTGGCAGGGGTGTTAGTGAGGGATAGCCAAATGACTGAACAAGCAGGCTATGTGGGGCAACCAGGCCAGCAGGGAGGGGACAGTTGGGGGTGACATGGCCAGCAGCAGGGGGCAGTTAGGGGCGATCAGGCCAACACACAGAGGCAGTGAGGGGTGATCAGGTCAGCAGGGAGGGAGCACTTGGGGCATCGAGCAGGCTGACAGGGGGGGCAGTTAGGGGCAAGCAGGAAGGTGAGCAATTAGGAGCTAGTGGTTCAGGATTGTGAGAGGGATGTCCCACTGCCAGTTTAGGCCTGATCCCTGGGATCGGGCACAAACTGTCAGTTTGACATCCCTGAGGGGTCCTGAATAAGAGAGGGTGCAGGCTGGGCTGAAGGGGACACCCCCGCTAATGCATGAATTTCGTGCATGGGGCCTCTAATAGGAAGATAAGAAGCAATCCTCCAATTATCTCTCTGGCCTCATCTCCTTCCCGCCTCTTTTCTGATTCTCTTCAGCCATACCTGCCTCTATGCTGGTCCTCTAACACACCAGGCATCCTCTCATGTTAGAGCCTTTGCAAAGACTCTAACAAATCCAAATAAAAAGTAAAACATGGGAGAAAAATCAAGATGGCGGCATAGGGCAGATACCCGAATGCAGCCTACCACAACAAGTTTGAGTTTGGAACTGAAAAACGGGAAACATCGCCCCGAGGCACCGGACGGCTGGCTGAGCGGAGGCTCTACCATCTGGGAACGAGAGAGAAGGCCCGCTGAACCTCAGGAACTGTGAAGGTACAAAAAACTGTGCACAAGAAAAGGCAGCCGCAGACTTCGCTGCCAGCTTGCTTGTGGAGTGCAGAGAGGGCGGGCCGAGTTCGCTACCAGCTTGCTCCCTGTGCGCAGAGAGGGCGGACAGCTAATGCGCGGCTGACTTTCTTGTACAGGAGAAAAACAGGACCACCCTATTGCGCTGATAGACGGCCCCAGACAGAGAGAGGCCAGACTGGGAGGGGATCTCTCGGAGGTGTGTGAAGCCAGCGGCCATTGCTGCAGGACTCAGATATCAGACCCTCGTAGGGAGGGGCTGAATAAAGCTTGTCTGCACCAACCGAGACTACACCCCATACAAGCAGAGCACAGAGGCCCTTCCAGTGGCTAGCTTCCTCATTCGCTACCAATAGGACTCTCCTAGGGAGGGGCAGACAGGAATCTAAAGCTTGTCTGCGCCTATACCAAAGAGGTGCACGGGCCTGCCACCAATTGTGCAGGATTCAACAAAGCTTGTCTGTGTCACCCGGAGACTCCACCCCATTCAAGCAGAATACAGAAACCCTCCTAGCTGAGGCACTTCTGATCCTCATAGCCAATTGGCTTGGAGATCAACACTTCCCAGTGATATCAACAACAAGCAAGGCTTAACAAGACTGCACACAAAGCCCACAAAGGGCTACACCAAGACTGTCCACCTCAGGTAACTAGGTAACTAGGAGGCTGACTCACTGAACCATATAGGACACCTCAGCACACAAAGCCACACTACCAACTCAGGGAAGCTGTGAAAATGCCAAGACAGGAAATAGATCACAAACAAAAGAAATGGAGGAAAAGAAGAGACTGGATATAGAGTTCAAAACCACGTTTATAAGTTTTTTCAAGAATTTCCTAGAAAAGAAACAGAAAGAAACCAAGATGGCGGCATAGGTGAGCAACTGGTCTGCCACTCCCACAACAATTTAAAAATTAAAACTAATATGAAGGACATCTATCATCCAAAACCACGGGAAGGAGGTACTGGGTAGTTAATAGGCAACAATTAACATGATAATAAGAGCAATGAGGGACAGATGGGGCTCTTAAAATGCGACCAGCTGGAGAAATGGAAGAATGGCAGGCCCGGAGCAACCAGGCCCAGAGCAGCAGCAGCCAGGCTGGAGCAGCAGCAGCAGCAGCAGCCAGTCCTGGAGCAGCCAGGCCCGAAGCAGCATCCAGTCCCGGAGCAGCAGCAGCCAGTCCCGGAGCAGCCAGGCCCAGAGTGTTGTGGGATCGAACCCTGGGTTCAAAATTAAAGGAAAGAAGGAACAATGCAGCCAATTCGGGTGCCAGAGTGTTATGTCCATCATCACAAAGGACTCAGAGAAGCTCCTGTGTCTCTTCACCCAAAAGGACTGAGAGTTGCCCAGGCGACAGAAAAGTGGGAGAAAAAAACTGAAAGCTATGCAAGGGGTTGAGGTGCCAACATGGAATCATCTGAAGAAATTAAAGACTGAAGTGGAAGCTACTTCTTTAATCATGTTCCTGCTCATGCTAGCATCTGTTGGCTTCCAGTCTTTTGCAAAGTCTTGTGCAGCAAGTCCAAGTACTCTGAGTAAATCTACACCAGCAACAAAAGAGACTCATTTAGTAGCTAAAAATATTAATATGTCCATAATTCTGATTTCTCATTTTGTTGTTTTGCATTGGCATTGTTATTATTTAATAGCCAGAGTTTTGCTCTTGACATTCAATTTTTGAAAATAACATGTATGTAATTTAGTTTTTGCATTGGCATTGTTTGCAATTATTTTTAATTTTAGAGACCTATTATTAATCTTTAAATTTTATTTTTATTAGTAAAAAAGGGTGAGATGTAGAGAGTGGCCTGAGAAGGCACATGGACATTTTTTTAATTCTTAGAAGCTGAGCCCAAGGGCACTGGCAGAATCCTCTTATCAGTACTGATTTCTTAATCCATGTGCTTGGAATGAGGATCAAATAGGACCTTGACTCACCCAGGTCTTAATATGTTAAATCTTGTACCAAAAAATAAGGAGCTTACCCAGAGTTTGATTAATAGGATCTGGGCACATCCAAAACTCCTTTTGACCTTAAACTCCCCTTTGGAAGCCAATTAAAAATAAATAAATAAATAAATAAATAAATAAATAAATAAAGTTAAACTGCAGTTTCTACCTCAAAAAAAAAAAAAAATTAGGAACAACAAATATGTAACTATCAACAAGTGAATCTAAAAACCAAGGGAATTAAAAGCCTGAGGAACAATATTAGCTGTTGAATATAATAGAATCAGAGGTACTGAATATAATAGAATCAGAGGTACAGAAGGGGAGTGGACTGACGATTCTCGGGGGGAAAGGGGAGTGGGGGGTGTGGGAAGAGACTGAACATAAACTGTGCACCTATGGATGAGGACAATGGAGGGTTGGGAAAGGGCAGAGGGTGGGGGGGGGGGGAAACCTGGTGGAGGGGGGGAAAAATGAGGAACTTTTGTAATAATCTGAATATTTATTTAAAAAATAAAAATAAAAATAAAAATAAAGGAAAAGGAGTCATTTACCTTGACCAAAAAAAAAAAAGAAAAGAAAAGAAAAGAAAAGAAAAGAAAAGAAAAGAAAGAAAGAAAGAAAGAAAGAAAGAAAGAAAGAAAGAAAGAGAAAGAAAATAGTCTGAACTAAATGTTTCCATTTTATTTAGTAGCAAGGGTGCATGGTGACATGACCCCCAAACAGCTCTCTAACAATCAGCGAGTGTTAAAATTAGGCACTGGAAACATGCCTTATACAAAAGACAAATATGTAAAAGTATTTTTCAGAAATGCTGAAGATCACTGGACATTTTGAATAATTACAAAATGAGAATATATCTGCAATAAGCATGCTAGACTCCATCCACTTTGATTAATATAGAGAAAGGAATCTCAAACATTTCCCATTAAAAATCAAGTATATATATATAGCCCTTGCCAGGTAGCTCAGTTGATTAGAGTGCTGTCCCCATACACTAAGAAACAAATTAGACCACTGCTCAGGGCACATACAAGAATCAACCAATGAACGCATAAATAAGTGGCACAACAAATCTCAATCTCTCTTCTCTCTCTCTCAAATCAATAAAAATCAAGTATATACAAAAACAACCTACATGGAAATATTTGAAGCATATTATACTTAAGCATCTTGAGTGGTTTCTGTTTTTGTTAATCCTCACCAGAGGATACTCTTTCTGGTTGACTTTTAGAAATGAGTAGAAGGGGAGGGGGGAGAAACATCAATGTGAGAGAGAGGCATCAATTTTAGTTGCTTCCCCCACCGCCCCTGACCAAAGCCGGGATCAGATCTACAACCCAGGCATGTGCCCTTGAACAGAATGGAACCCGCAACCCTTCCGTGCACCGGCGGATACTCCAACCACTGAACCACACCGGCCAGGCCTATAGTTAAAACATTATTTGAGGAAAGCCCCTTTACTTTGGTCTGATGGGGGTGGGGGTTGAATCTCAGCTTGCACCAAGGTATGTACAAAAATTCACACTTCCTTTAAGAAAAGTACCACGAAGTTTCAACTGGAAATAAATCCACCTTGGGAGTTTCATACAGGTGTGTAGGGAGTTTTGTGGGAGATAAAGATAATCGCGGGCAAATTCTCTCCGCTGAGTTTTTTTCCTGGGAATTTCCATGATCCCGCCTCCCAACCTGGAGGCACCTTGTCTGTTGAGAACTAGGTTCTCACGCTTCAGCTGTTTTTTTTTTTTTTAAATCGCCCTTCCGGTTGGTTCCCTCCTTGGAATACCAGAGCACAATTTCTAGGCTTTTGTTTGTTGGTTTGATTTGGTTTGGTTTTCAAATTCACTGAAACGGATGTATGTAGGGTGGGCTGAGAAGAGAGTGTATAGCTTAATGCCCCCCGAGATCAAGCAGCGATGAAGGCAATGCGCCTCCATAAACTTAGTCACTGGCTCGACAAATATTTTAGTGCCTTTACAGTTCAGCTGTCAAAAAAAAAAAACAAAAAAAAACACGACCCCTCGGTGACTGTTGGGTGTTTGATGGGAGGAACTGTGGGCTCAAAAACAAAACGAGAGAATCTTAGGGGTCACTGCAGGATGGGAGAACACCCAGTAAAATGGCCTGATCCAAGGTAGAGCTTGTTTATGAAGAATGAGTAACGAGGCTACCACTCCAAAGAAGATGGGTGACAGAAGGTATCATTCAAAACTACCGGGGGGGGGGGGGGGGGGGAGGATGGAGGTAGGAAGGGTGGATATTTGGAATTATTCATAGCTCTGGCAGTATTTTCAGTTCCCTTCTGTGTACTCAAAGGGATATGTTACCTCATTAAAGAACACTGTACAAATTTTCCACACACACACAAAAAAAATCTTAAGAGGTCCAGGCTCAGGGACGCAAAGCGCGCGATGTCAGAAATAAAGCAGCCACGACGCCAAGTCCCAGGAGGTGAACCAAGTCACGTCGGTTCATCACCCCACCTCCCGCTCTGCCATCCCTTCACCCGGCAGCCCCAACCTTTACTGTGGAAATACGTGTGTGAAGCAACACTGCGGGTTTGAGGGCTCAAAACTGCCTTTCCCAATCCCTTGGTTTCGACGTTTCTAAAGAGACCCCGCGAAACTAGGCTCTTTTTCGCCAGACTGAAGCTTTGAGTCGTCCACAGAAAGCGCTTGGAGACATCGCAAAGGAGCCTGAGTCCCGCCCCGCAAGCTAGAAAGCCCCAAACCAGACCCCAGACCGGCAAGAAGCGAAGGCTGACAGCCCAGGTTACCTCGGATATCCACCGCCGCCATAATTCCAAAACGGTTGGCGGGTTCTCCTTCCGGCGCAGAGAGAGCGTAACCACTGTGACGACGGAAGCAGCGGGTAGCAGAGCTTCGGGACCCTGAGGAGACACGCGGAGGGGAGGACGGAGGGGACCTACAGGAGGGCAGGAAAGGAGAGGAGGCCTGGAGCACAGGGGAGCTGCTGGGAAGTGGAGTGACCGGAGAGGAGGGGGAAGCGACTGGGAGGTGGGAGCGGGGCGGGGCTTGGAAGGGAAGGGGCGGGGCTTGGAGATGAACAGGGGCGGGGCTTGGAGGTGAAGCAAGGCTAGGAGAGGAGAGGAATACCGGTGAGGTAGAGAGGGCGGGGAGGGGCGGGGCTTGGAGGTGGAGCGCGGCGGGAGAGGGGCGGGGCTGGGAGATGGACAGGGGCGGGGTTGGGAGGCGGAGCAGGGCGGGAGAGGGGCGGGGCTGGGAGATGGAGAGGGCGGTGCTGAGAGGTGGGGCGGGGCTAGGAGATGGAGAGGGCGGGAGAGGGGCGGGGCTGAGATGTGGGGCGGGGCTGGGAGATAGAGAGGGCGGGAGAGGGGCGGGGCTGAGAGGTGGGGCGGGGCTGGGAGATGGAGGGGGCGGGGCTGGGAGAGGGGCGGGGCTGGGAGGTGGAGCGCGGCGGAGAGGGGGAGAACTAAGAGAAGAGAGACCCTGCGAGGAAGGAGGCCTGGCATACTTAATGAAAAAAAATGTTGGAGACTGAGCGAGTCCTGCCCCGGCCCACCAATGAGAGATTCAAATATTCGAGCTTGCTTTCCTGTGATCATATTAAAAAACATATTGATTATACAGAGTTAGGGGTGAGAACATCTTCAAGTTAAAAAGCGCCCTCAGGTGCATCCAATGGGCTGTTAGATTAGGAGCTACTGGCCATTTTATTTTCTACCCTCCCTTATGGGTAAGGATGGGAAAGAACTAAGCTGAAAGAATTTGAAAATCTTTAGCTTTTTTAAAAAATATATATATATATTTTATTGATTTTTTTACAGAGAGGAAGGGAAAGGGATAGAGAATTAGAAACATCAATGAGTCATCGATCAGCTGCCTCTTGCACGCCCTCCACTGGGGATGCGCCCACAACCAAGGTACATGCCCCTGACCTATCTACTGAGCCAAACCCATATCTGCAGGGTCTTTAGCTTTTATTGTCACTTAAGTCCATTAAAAGTCTCAACACGTGCCAAAACCGGTTTGTCTCAGTGGATAGAGCGCTGGTCTGTGGACTGAAGGGTCCCAGGTTCGATTCTGGTCAAGGGCATGTGCATTGGTTGCGAGCACATTCCCAGTGGGGGGTGTGCAGGAGGCATCTGGTCAATGTTTCTCTCTCATTGATGTTTCTAGTTCTCTATCTTTCTCCCTTCCTCTCTGTAAAAAATCAATAAAATATATTTTTTAAAAAGATTTAAAAGTCTCAACATGTTAAGTAAATGTATTACCCTGTTTCCCCGAAAATAAGACAGTGTCTTATATTAATTTTTGCTCCCAAAGATGCACTAGGTCTTATTTTCAGGGGATGTCTTATTTTTCCATGAAGAAGAATACGGTACACATTTATTGTTAAATGAAAATAAAGGAAATTTATTACCTGTATACAGTACGGTAGTATAGTAGTTGTCAACACAAACCAGACAAATTGTGAATCCTACAGTATCAAGAATTTGCTCATTTATTCAATGACAATTATGTCATCATCAGGAACATCCTTATAGCAATCCAATTCCTGAATTTCCTGGTGAATTTCTTGTGACTCCATTTCTTTCAGAATCAGTGGACCAAATCTCTCATGTTTAGCCTAGGGGGGGGGGGCCTTATTTTGGGGGGATGCCTTATATTTCACTCAGAAGGAAACCTGTAAGTAGGTCTTATTTTCGGAGAATGTCTTATTTTCAGGGAAACACGGTAGATGCCTCTGGGCAAAACTTTCACAAGACAAGAAATGTTTCAGAAGTAAAATGTTAACAAAAGTAAAAAAAAAAAAAAAAAAAAAAAAAAAAAAAAAAAAAAAAGGAATAATCCTGGCTCTGTGCAAAGACCTAGTATCTGCATGTCAGGTAATCTGGGGTAGGGTGCAAGATGCCAGAGAGGGAATAATTCTGTGGTATGGGAAAGCCATAGAAAGATTCTCAAGCTCCAGCGTGGCCCCATAAAAAAGAAAAGTGGTATATCTACAAGCAAAACAAATACTTAGAAGAGGGTGCCTTCTTCTAACCTGCCCACCCCAAAATCTGAAGATATGAGAATCTTCTCCAAAATCAGGTACTATAAAGGCTCCCCCAGAATTTAACCACAATCCAGGGGCAAGAGGAGAGCATCATGAATTTATTGAGATTTCCCAACTCATAGACTGGAAATCCAATTCTTTTAAATCTAGATAAAATAAATTGTTTTGTTGCACTATTTTTGAACTGGAATTTTATAACTGAGATGGGATGGTTTATATATAATGAATGCTCCAAGAAAGTATGGAGGAAAATTTCCAGGACCCTGGGGGGGGGAGGGGGAGGGGGGAGACATTCCCAAAAGGGAGAATATCATGTCCAATAAACAGAAGTGTAAAACATCAAGCTTTTTGTTTTGTTTTATTTTCTTGTGTTTTTATTAGGAGATTAGGAAGAAAAACAATAGAACAAGGATTTGTAGATAATAAAATACTTGGTAAACATGGAAGCCAGACCCGAAAGCGCAGCCTTTAATTTATAGGCAGTGGGAGAAATGTGATTGGCCCTCAATTTTAGAAAGATTTTTCAAGGAGAATGAGTTAGAGGCATTTACACAACTCAAAGCGCGAGTCAGTTTAAGAGACTGTTGCAAACTAAATGATGTCTAGACTCATGCAAAGGCAATGATAACTGAAGGAAGAGAAAAGATTACAGACATTTAGGAGATAGCATCAAAAGGGAATTAGTGACTAATAGATGAGCCTAAGGAGGGCGAGAATGGAAATAAAACATGATTCCCAAGATACCGATTTATAAAACTAAGTGCTATTAATCAGGAATAACACACAAGTGAATAAGTGAAAAAAAAAAAAGGTAATGATTTACTTTTTTAAAATATGTTTTTATTGATTTTTTTTTTACAGAGAGGAAAGGAGAGGGAGAGAGTTAGAAACATCGATGAGAGAGAAACATCGATCAGCTGCCTCTTGCACACCCCCTACTGGGGATGTGCCTGCAACCAAGATACATACATGCCCTTGACCAGAATCCAACCTGGGACCCTTCAGTCCACAGACTGACGCTCTATCCATTGTGCCAAACCGGTCAAGGCATGATTTACTTTTAACATGTCCATGTTGTGCATGAAGTGTCTACAGGATACTCTGTACACTAAGATTTCTCAGCCTTTGCAGTATTGACATTTTGGGCCAGATAATTCTCTGATTTCAGAGAGTAAGGGATACGGGGAGAGAGGTAGAGCATCAATGATGAGAGAGAATCATTTATCAGCTGCCTCCTGCATGTCCCCTATTGGGGATTGAGCCTGCAACCCAGGCATGTGCCCTTGACTGGAATGAAATCTGGACCTTTCAGTCCACAGGTGGATGCTCTCTATTTACTATTCCAAACCACCAGAGCTGGACCAGATAATTCTTTCCTGGAGGTGTGGGAAGCTATTCTTTGCATTATAGACTGTTTAGCAGCATCCCTGGTTTCTATCCACTAGATGCCATTAGCAGCCCTCCTCTCAGTTCTGACAACCAGAAATATCTCCAGACATTGCTAAATACCCCCCATCCTGGGCAGTTGGAGCAAAACTACCTTCAGTTTGATAACCACTACTATACACAGGTATCTACAGGAGTATGCAGGCTTTGGATTTGGTAAGTAGAAGGCCTCAAACAAGAACAGTTTCTGTGGAATGGTTGGGGCAGAAGCTAGAGGAGAGTATATGTTCAGGAGTAAAGGAAAATGGCATTGAGTATAGACTGTGATAGAGCCTCCATTCCCCCAACTGGTGGCTGAGTTTGATGTAACCTTCGGCCTGGACATACCAGAGTACCTAACCAGGCAACTTATATGGACTATACATTGAACCACCAGTCAGCACCTGCCAAACACCCTAGGCCTAAGCCCTTATCCCTAAGTACCTGAGTGACTAAGTACCTTATATGAACCACACATTAAGCCACTAATCAGCATGTGCCGAGTACACTAAGCCCCCATTCCTCCCCATTCCTCCCCTCAAAAGGCATGTTCACCTCTGCACATGTTGCTGTTCTCCCCTTGCGAGACAGCCCAGCAGGTCTCTTTCCCCTAATAAAGCCTGTAGACCTGGTTTTCGGCTCCCAATGGATTTTCTCAGACTGTGCTTTCAGGAGGCGTGGCTGAAAGGGAAGGATAGAAAGAGTTAGAGCCACTACCTGGACATTGTACAGAAATAATGATAGGGAAATGTGAACATGTTGATAGGCTAAGGTGAAAGGCCCAGCTAAGAAGATCTATTTGGACCCAGGATCAAACCTGCCCACCCTTTTGTGCATGGGAGAATCCTCCAACTTACTGAGGTATTCTGGCCACGGTTAGCACCAATGTTTTGTAAAAAGCACTTCTGTGATATGAATACTTGTCCTCTTTCCCTGACTCATTTTTTCTCAAGATCAAGGTGTGTAGGTTATTTGAAATGTTAATTGACCAATTATTTCTGAAGTGCTTCTGAAATCTTGTATTAGAATGTTCATTATAAGGCATAGTTCAATAAAGTTTTTGTATATTTGCATGAATCGCAAAAAAAGATCTATTGTCTTCAGTTAGTTCATCCATTCAGTTGGTCTTCAATTATTTCAAACCTACTAGATGTTTTGCTTAGCTCTAGTTGCAGAGGATAAAGTTATAAACAGACCAAGCCTCTGGCCTGAAGCAGCCAGCAGGTCTGATGGAACAGACAGATACAAGTAAACAAAGATGAGCAAGACAGATTGTGATGACAAAAATGGGGGGAGGATGAGATAGGAAACAACTAGATGAAGCTACTTTGGG